TTTTATTGGAGGGAAAATATTGTGATTATAAAACTAGGAATACTGAAGGCATGTAAGGAAGAATTCCATCGACTACAACATCAGGGGAAAACCATCTCCATATATTAATATGAGACCTGGATTATTATTTTAGTAATTTATTTCCTTATTCTTATATAGTTCTATATTTTTAGTTATTAGCCCACTTGCATAACTGGATATAGTCAAATTTCATATAATATGAATTTATGATTAAGTTGTGATTTCACATCCTTATATGATTTTCTTTTATATTGAATTTCTATGCTAAACTTTAATTTTAAGATAACCATTAATTTATCATTGACGCAATCTTTGCATATGTTCTGTTTCAAAAAAAATTGCTTAAATTGATATTAGGTACTATTGCTCACATAGATTTCATCACACTTGTAATGAGTTTGCATATGATTCTTTGCTTGCTTGGATAGGATTCAGATGGATCGCCTTCTTTAATTAGCATCTACATTCCAATTGGAATGATAACTCTATTGGAACATTACTTATCCTTCACATCAAATTCTTTATAATTCCTCTATTGAGAAATCATATGAATACATGTTGAGTCTTTGATATTTTTGTTCAAATCTTCTTGTCACCTTGAGTTCAATTCCTTGTAGTATAACCTTAGTTGATTGCTTAAAAGTTTCAAGTATAAGTAATTGTTCAAGTTTTTGGATCCGACTTCATCAAGTTCAAGTGTCCCCTGCAGTCCAAGTCTTGTTAAATTTTGATTGAATTTCAGTTGAAGTTCAATCCTTTTATGGTTCACTTAAGGTTTGAGTTCACTTAAGTCAATTTGGTTCAACCAAGTTCAAGTCCGGATCTTTTGCATTTGCTTGAATATGGGTCCAAGTGATCCAAGTTCAAGTTGTTCAAATCAAGTCCAAGATTTGTCATTTGAGTTAAAATTTGTTCATGCTTAATTCCCACATGAGTTCAAGTTATATGCAAGTTTGGCTCAAGTTTGAATCAAAGTCCATAATCATTTGATATGAATCAAGTCGATGTCCTTTGCAGTTTGTTCAAGTCCCCTGAGTCCTTGTAAGTTCAAAATTGAGTCTAAGTTCAATTCTTGTTTGAGTTCAGTCCAATTTCATTTTACTTGGGATTAATTCTTTATTAAGTCATTTAGATTTTGTTCAAGAGTCCAAGTACAAGTAATCCGTCGTTCTTCTGAGTTCAATCAAGTCCAGGTCCCAAATTGCTCCAAGTCCTTGTCGGTATTTAACGACACTCATGGGAGCGAGATCGAGGCCTGCGCACGATATCCGCGTATCCTGCTCTGAGATGGCGCCGTTTGCAGGGTCGTAGGACGAGATACTTTAGCTGGCGACGGGATTTTTGCAGGATTTGCGGGATCGGCAGCCGGCTTCACAGGTATTTTATATTCTGATTTTTTTTGTTTTGTTTATTTCTTCATGGAGGTCAACATTACTCTGAACAGTAGACCCAATATATCTTAAATGTGTGCTCTTATTAATGACTTGATTTTTCAAAGTCACAATCCCCCCACTAGATCTATTATTACTAAAATTATACTCTATATATTTTGTTTTAGATCTACTGAAACGAAAATCTTTATACTCTAAGCTTAACTTTCATAATTCAAGTTTACCTTCAACTCTCTCTCAAGTCTCATAAACAAGAAGAATATCATCAGTAAAAAGATTACACCAGGGTATATCCTCTTGCAAATGTCTAGTTAGAATATCCATGACTAAAGCAAAAAGATATGGGCTTAAGGCTAATCCTTGATGTAATCCAATTGAAATAGGAAAATACTTGATCAAACTATTTTGCGTTGGAACATAAGCATGATGCATGCTTGATGTAATCTTTATGGATATAATGAACATAATTTTTAGATTTTATATGAATCAATTTGTTATAGTCTTTATTGTTGATATATTGATTCATTCAAAGGCTGATAAAGATCATATTGTTCATTTAAGGATTGTTTTGGGTTTGCTGAGAGAACATGAATTGTTCGTTATGTTTCCAAATTTAAGTTTTGGCTGAGGATAATTATATTCTTGGGGCACCTTATTAGTGGTGAAGGCATAACAATAGACAATACAAATGTAAAAATAGTGGTTGAATGGACAAGACTTACCAATATAATTGAAAATAGATGTTTTTGGGGTTAAAAGGGTATTATAGACGGTTAGTGAAAGGATCCTCTCAAATTGCCTTGCCTTTATTCATGTTGACCAAGATAGGTAATATTGAATTGGAAAACTAGATACGAGCACTGGTTTTATGAACTGAGAAGAAGTTTAACATCAGCACCTGTGTTAACTATCCTATAGGTACTGAGGGATTTTAGTTTTTCAGTGATGTATCTTTAAAAAAAAAAGGGTTAGGTGTTGATGACGAAGAAGTAATTGTCTATGCATCTGATAGTTAAAACTATTGTTTAAAATTGTGCAATATGAGGCTCGCCTTGAGGCCTGCCTCAACGCAATTTCAGTGAAAAACTCCTCGAGACTTACGCCTCGAACTTTCATTATGAGGCTTACGCCTCATCTTCGCTAGGGCCTGCCTTGAGGCGCGCTTCGCCTCGCTGGCATGAGGCATACGCCTCACTCTATTTATGTATGTTTTTTTTTTTTAATTTAGTTAAATTCTTTACAAAAGCCCCAAAAAAATCATGCCCTCTTACGCTCTAAGGCTGCATTAACTTCCTCTCAACTGCCTCGACCTCCAGCCCACCGCCTTCGCCGTAGCCATCGCCGTCATAGTTGTTGCCGGGGATCACTTGAAATCCGCATACCGCCACCATCTCCTATAAAAATTTTAGTATTACTCTAATTTTATGTTAATGAAAAATATTTATTAAAAAGGAAGATGGTTGAAATAAATAAAAAAGTAGATTGACAGGTATTGGACCCTACAGGTTGAGGCAAAGGAGAGGCCAATTTGTTATGACGACTCAAATAAAAATCCCCTTAGTAATGATAGTACCTATAATTTATGATTTGTTGTCAATTATTCTAACTTTATTAGGAATTAAATGTAGATGAGTTGGAAACTGATAAAGAAGAAATTTAGAGCTAAACTTGATGCTATATGATACGTTTATGCAATTCATATATTTTTTGCTGTTTTTCTTATGTGATATTTGGATTTCAATTTTATTTCATATGTTTTATTATTTATCACTTTATATTTTGTGTAATTTTTTATTTCATATTTATATAAATTTGTTACTTCATAATTCAATAGAAAGTTAAGATTCCATCCTTTAACATGTTATTTGGGTATTATACAAAAAATCACTTTTAACTTTTATTTTTTACTTTACGTAATTTTTAAATTTCGAGGCTTACGCCTCAGAACGCCTTGAGGCTTAAACCTCGCCTCATGAACGAAAAACGCCTCAATACCCAATTATGCAATTTTAAACCTTGGTTAAAATCACATTAAAGGAATTATCCAACACATGCCCCATAATTGGCTGCAATAGTTTTTGCTTTAAAAATATGGAGACATTATTTATAGTGTGTGGTGTGAAGTATTTACTGATGACAAGAGTTAAGAATATTTTTTTATCCAAAAAGAGTTAAATTTGAGGCAACGGGGATCATTAGAGTTTATTAAAGATAATGATTTCGATATCAAGTATTATCTCGGGAAAGCCAATGTGCTGGCTAATGTATTGAGTAGAAAATCCAATGGATAAGTTAATTGGATGCTAACTCAGGAGAATGAATTGATCAAAGATTTAACAACCTTGTAATCAAAAGTAAGTAGCTAGGTTGATTAAGACCCTTGTAGCTTATATATATCATATGACCATGCATCCTATTTTGGAAGACAATTCAAGAGATACGTAAGTCTAGTGGTGAATACCTGAAGACGATGGATCAAATTCGGTCAGGAAAAGGCAGGAACTTTGCCTTGATGACCAAACAATAGTCATAAGAAAGGTACATCTTTGGGTTCCAAAGAATTCTCGTTTGATTCAGGAGATCTTAGCTCAAGTTTACCTTTTATGATTCAATTCACCAGGGTCATACTAAAATATATAAAGACTGAATTCATTGTTCTAGTGACCTGAGAGTGAGGAAGATGTGGCTGATTTTGTGGCTAAATATAAAGCATACCAACTAGTGAAAATTGACCACCAGAAGCCTAGTGGAATTGTTGTAGTCATATTGCCTATACATGAGTGGAAGTGGGAGGATATAGCTATGGATTTTGTTTCAAGTTTCTCTATGTCTAGGCATCGACATGATTGTATTTGGGTGGTGATAGTTAAACTAACAAAGTCAACGCATTTGATGCATATTCATTAGATGGATTCAATGGAGAAATTGGAAAAATATTTATGAAAGAAATTATCAAATTATATTGATTTAAAAAAATTATTATATCTCATAGACATGAACGATTAACTTCTCAAATGTGGAAGGGTAATCATGATGGTTCGGGTACTAAATTGAATTTGTTTCAACATTTTCTCCACAAACAAATGACCAATCAGAAAAAGTTATTCAAGTGCTAGAAGATCTATTAAGATTGTGTGTTTTAGATTTTGGTGGTAGCTAAGAATATCACATTCCTTTGATTGAATTTGCTTACAATAATAACTAGCAATCCAAAATCAAAATGGCTCTCTATGAAGCCTTGTATAGAAAAAATATATAGAACTCATTTGAAATAGGCTGAAGTTGGGGAAAGGCAGTTGTTGGATCAATAATTGGTTGATCTAACCACCGAGAAAATAAGAATAATCAGGAATAGATTAAAGGCAACACAGGACCATCAACAAAAGTAGTATGATTCCAAGCATATAATAATAGAGTTTGAAGTTGGAGAATTTGTATTTATGAAGGTTAAACATATGAAATGGCTTTACGAGTTTTGGCCTAGGAGGAAAGTTAAGTCCGAGATATATTGGACTATTTGAAATTATTGAGAGGATAAAAAATATTGCTTATCGTCTAGTGTGCATAATGGATTTCATATATTTATGCAAAAAAAAGGGTTGACAAATAAACATCAAAGGGTCCCTTAAGATGATATTGAAATGCATAGCGATATGACATATTCAGAGGGGTTTGAGAAGATCTTAGAGTTTAATGTTTGTGGTTTAAGGAGCAGAATAATTCCTTATGTAAAAGTAAAATGGAAGCATAGATCGTTGAAGGAGATACCTGAAAGAGGGAAGTAGATATGAGACAAAAATTCTCTTGTTTTACGTAGTATTACAAATAAAGACTCCTAATTCTAGTCGTCGATCTACAATGTCTCCTCTGATAGACGCACCAGAATCTTCTGCTGATGTCCTCGTCAATTAAAATACAAACCATGGGTTGCCAGTTGACATTTGATTCACTTAGTCCTGCAATGGGATGTGTCAAGGACCAAGAAGCACATCTATTTGTTAGCCAATCACTGCCTATGTGACCTAATCAAAAGATGCCAAATGTATTAACAACTTTAAGCAACACCCGTCCTTGGTCAAAAGGATATCTGTTGTGTATAAAAAATGAAGCATTCATCCATCTTCTATTCTTTATCGGTAAGACATCTACCACCTTGCAACCCACTTTTGCATGTTAGTTTGGTGCTTCAGCTTCTAACTAAGAGGTTTTAGATTTGAGCATGTGGAATATGTGTTTTTGTTAAAATCTGCTAAAAGTCCCCAAAACAATTTTGGCCTGCAAACATAATTTCTAAACTCATAATTTATTCAATCAATTGTCTTGACCACCTTATAGTAAATGATCACAACCACCCTAACTTTTCTCAATCATGTTGGCTCAAGCCTCATTTGATCATACTTTTTTTTTATTACTATGGTTAGCTTTAGAACCCCTTTTTGTGTTAGTTTTTCTTTTTGTAGAGTATAAAGTAAGTAGAGAAAACATGTTTTGATGAACGTATTTGTTTAAAATAACAAGTTGAGCTTATTTTCCTAAATTTGGAAAATACGCATGTACACTTTTTCACTTGTTTGCAGGAGTTTGTTTCAACTCTGTTTCCATTTACTGTTCTACTTAACTTTATTTATCAATAAGAACATAATAATAGTTTGTTTATAATATTATTCAATAGTATTCCAAAATAATAATAATAATAATAATAATAATAATAATAATGATAATCCATTTAAAATAAATGATTTTTTTACTGAATATATTTTGTAATAATTTATTATATATTAAATAAAAAATTGTATTGAATAATTTAGTTACATTAAGAATTATTGAACGAATATTTTTGAGTGCAACAAATTTTTTGCTGTAAAATAATATATATTGTAAATCTTATTTAAAAAAAGACTATATGTTACAGGTTATTGCCATTTTAGTATTCATTATGTGCACTTTTTTAATATAATAAAATTATTAAAATCCATATGAAATTAACTAAGATTATTCAACATAGTGCTTTTTAGATCATATCATTTTGCTCAAAATATTTTTCATACTATTTTTTGGTTTTTAAACCAATATGAATTAACAATTGTGTTTTTCTTTTTGAATAATGCAGCAAACATGTTTAATTTCTTTGTCAATGTTCCTAATTTTTTTTTTGGTTGCTTAAAAAACAAAAGAAAACAAAAACACATTGAAGCGAAATCAAATCAGAAGTAAAACAATGTGAAGTATGGCCTTTGTCTTTAAGAAACATGCCATATCCTAGTTGTGATTGTGATTGAAATGTTCAGGAAATGTTACTTGTCGATCTATGTTTTAAACAAGGTTCAAGTCCAACAAGTTTTCTAGTTTATTGAGGTTGCTGGTCTATCTTGCTAGATTTCCGAGTAATCTGTCATAAACTTTCTTTCTCAACGGAATTGAACCTGCAAGTCTTCAAAAAATAATTTTCTAGTGTCTAACCTGCTTTGACTTAGCAGTTCAGACTCATGAAACTGACAAGCATCATACAGCTGCAAAGTAAATTCAAAATTTCCTGTTAATTTTATATTAAAATATTCATAACTACGTCCAAAATTATAACAATTTCGAACTTGTAAAGGTCTTTGAACTGTTCCAAAAATAAGCTTTAAGTTTGTGTTTCTTTTTTCTTTTGTAAGTAGAAGAAAAATAAATGAATAAAAAAGGAAAGAAAAATCTTTATTTCATCTGCAATTGATTGTAATATCTTTGAGAGTCTCCTTTTTAATATTTTAGTTTTGACGAATTGTCCCATTCTATTTCCTTGTTCCAAACTTCATGAATTGCTTAGTATAATTATAGTTATTATTTGAAGGGCCTGAGAAAGAGCTTTCTCAACTTGCGGTATTTGGGGAGCTAAGGGCACTTCTTCCTTGCGTTCAGCTGCAAATTGAATTTGTTGGGCCCGGTGTTCCACAGTTTAGGTTGTTTCTAACTCAAGCTCAAATATAATTTGTGAAAGTCTTTTTTATTTATTTATTAATTTCAACATGTTACTAATAGATGTTTTTTTCTTGTTTATTGTCTTATATTCTTACATGCTCAAGTACTTCCATGATAAATTATTCCTAGGCATTACGTAACTATAAAACTGAGTCATGAGAGCATCCCCATACAATTTCTTTCAATATATCTAATATATTTATGCTCGACTTATTTTTCTGTATAACTCGTCTTTTTTTGGGTGATAGGGATGGGGAAACGATAAAAATTGACACATATCTTCAGTGTTCTGATGGGAGCTGTTCTTGCAAATCTTCATGTAAACAGAGATCATGTCTTCCAAATTCAGTAGTGACATTGAAGCTTTACAAAGGTTTCTATCATGAGAAATATAGATATATGGTAATTTTGTTCTTGTTGACTAATTTCTCTTATTCTCATCTCTCTCTCTATCTTATCTTGGACCATCAAAATTCTACAGTAATGCTGGTTAGTTTAAAATGTGAGAATAAAGCAATTGAAATGTATTACTGAATATTCTTCTTCAATTTTTTTGTTTCAATTGATTCCATAATCCTTTTATTAACATTAAAGGAGAGAGGAGAAAGTTTGGCCTAAAGGAGGAAGCTAATGAGGGGAAATACTAAGAGAGAAGAAAGTGCAAACAAGACAAAGGAAGAGAAGAGAGTGCGTTTCAGTTTAGTTTTTTATTTTTTCGTTTTTCTTTTCTTTTTGTTTTTTCTTTTGTGAGGGGGGGGGGGGGGGGGGGGGGGGGGGGGGGGGGGGGGGGTGCGCTAGATAGAGTGAACTTATTATTTTCCATTTATAAACTTGTAGCAGCATCATTATGAATTCTTCAACGATCCTTATTTCTGACCGCAAATCAAATGGCTCCTCATCTTAGCTTGTGGAAGGGAGTTCCTTTCATTTCATAGCCCGAAGTCATGTAACGTCCTATGATGGCTTTTTCCAATGTGTCTCACAATCTTTCTTTCACTGGAAGTCTTGATTTGCTTAAAAGTATGTGTGATATGGAGAGTGAGCGCTTTATTCTTTTCTATTTATAAATTTGTAGCAGCATCATTATGAATTCTTCAATGATCCTTATTTATGATCACAAATCAAATGGCTTCTTATCTGCTTGTGGAAGGGAGTTCCTTGCATTTCATAGCCCGAAGTCATGTAACGTCCTATGATGGATTTTTCCAATGTCTCACAACCTTTCTTTCACTGCAAGTCTTAATTTGCTTAAAAGTATGTGTGCTAATTTTAAATATTTTGAGTCATTCCAAATTCTATGCCCCAAAATTGATGGTGCGTTACAAATAAGTATAATGTTTCTGGTAATCTATTATGTAGGAATGCTAGGTCAGGCATCATTTATAGTACTCTCTCTTGATTGAGGAAAAAAGGAATTTAACATACATCCATGTAAGAAATTCAATGTAAAAAATGATTTCATAAAAAATAGTAAAATGAAAGGAATAAGGAAATAATCTTCGAATGGAGATGGATGTACTTTGACTAAGAACTAGTCATTACTACTGCTTGTTACGACTATTTGTGTTGCCATTGTCTCACATTAGTACTCGATTTGAGGGAATAAGGAAAAATTCTTTGAATGGAGATGATGAAAATTGGAGTATATGCCAAATGTATGTTTCTTGCCATCAAAATAGAATTTAGATTTTCATTTAAAATTATATAAATCAGGATCCGATCTAAAAGTATTTTTACTATGAATTTATTGAAATTGGATTTTTTATTTGAATAAGAAGAATAGAAATAGATCTGGATTTGAATTTGAGAATTTAGGACAAAGATCTAATAAACTCATATTTTTAATCAGATCTTTATACATTTAAAAAGAAATGTCCAATCCTCACTAAAGATGAAGAGAAGATGGAATAGAAGAGAGGAATCTAAACCAAGAACCAAACTAAGAATGTCTATATTATGGCAATATTATAAAATAATAGTTAATACATAACTGTTAAGAGGAGGATAATAAATTCTCATATTTTAAAATAAGAGCTATTTAAGTATAATTAATAGTTAATTATAGGATATATGATTATATATAAGTTAAAATAATCTTATGATATTATATATTATTATAGGTATCATTTTATTGAAGTCAGAGTAAGGACATTAAGAGCAAGCAATCCTAATCAAAGTGAGCACTCATGCTTTTGATTTATAGTAATGATGTTGTTTTCTTTAATTCAAGTTCATTGAATTAATTGATATTAGCTAATTAATTATTATAAGATTCTGATATTTTTTTCTTTTTGAATGTTCATATTAAATTATTTTATGGTTAGCATGATTATTCAGCATATGCAAAGTTATTGAATGATGAAAGAATGAAAAAATTATATATAAATACTTGTATGTGTATGTTGACTAATGGAGTCCACCCCGTTATGATGTTGACTTAAAATGCAATGTACTCGTCCACGTAAATGAAAAAAGTTATAGAAAAAGAAAAAGAAAATTAAAAAGAGAACCTTTATTGATACTAAATTATACGGCGACTCCTGTGACTGTTGTACTATTTATGAAAAAGAAAAAAAAATATAGATAAAGATATTGTATATGCATAATACTGAAAGTCTTGAAATAAAATTACTTTATGATATGAATTAAAATGCTTATGCATATTATTTCAATTACCTTGAATTACTGTAATTGAGAAGCATGTTTTACTCGCTGAATTGTTACTTATTTTTAATTGCTCTAACATTCTTCATGTATAATTTAATATAATCAAGATGAATGGAAGATGTAAAAATATGTATCGTAGGTGTGACCACCTAAGGGTTGGTATTTAAATTATTTTATTTTTATTTATTTCAAATTTGAGGTTTTAGTGGCTTTTTCTATTTGTTAGAAATAGTTAATTATTAATTAAAAATCTAGTTAACCGTCCGATCATCTGTTCACCCAGATGATGGCGGCTATGACCCAACTGCTTCAGGAATCAAGATCGCAGCCTTGTGTTGGGTTGATAAATATTTCAAGTTATTTTAGGACATGCGACCACCTCTATTCAAAGGTAATGAGGGACCAATTGAGGCAGAAAATTGGTTGCTTCAGATAGAGAAAATATTAGATAGCATATTATGTCCTGATAAGAGGAAAATGTCACTTGCTACTTTTGCCTTTGATGGAGAAGCAGAAAGGTGGTGCAGAGGGCAATGTGAAGACAAGTTAGGAGATATTCCAAATACATTGGTTAAATGGGAAGACTTTGAGGAACTTTACAGATAATGGTTCGTACCTATATTAGCAAGAAGACAAATGTAAGAAAAATTTATAAGATTGATTTAAGGAAACAAATCAGTGATGCAATACAAAGCGGAATTTACAACACCATCTAGATAGACACTACAACTAATTGTAACAATAGAAGAAAAAAATATTATAGATTCCTATTCGGTCTAAAAGATGTAATTAGGTAATAGTACCTTTAGAAATCGGGGATTATTCAGTGTTGGTAGAGAGAGCTAGGAGGGTAGAGATTGACTTCCAAATTACTTAGAAGGGAAGGGATCAAGCATAAAAAGAAAGTGCTGAATAAGATATCCAAAGCAATCATATTGAAGTATCATATGGAAAGAAATCCAAGTTTTTTCCTAGTGCAGTCAGTAGTGCAATAGTCAGTAAAGTCATTAAAGTTTGTGCTGAGTGTCACAGATTACACAAGGGTGAATGTCTGATGGGTTCCAACACCTGCTATTTGTGTCGTCAGCTTGGACTCATTACTGGACTCATTGCAAAATATTGTCCTACGTTTGGTCAAAGGACTTTTGGAGAGATGAAATCAGGAGAAGCATCTTCACAGAAGAATTTTGGCAAATAAAAGATGATAGAACCATCAGTTTCAACTCCAATACAAATCAATCAATGCAGAATGTTCGACTGCGGGTTTATGCTTTGACACAACAGGAGCCCAATGAATCTATAGATGTTGATAAAGATAGTTGAGATGGCTTTATTATCTAATATTGTAACATGTTATGTTTTATCAAATACTTTTCTTTATCCAGATATCTTAGTATGTTATATTAGATGTTTTATCAATTGTTTCTAATGTGAAAGTTTATATTTTTCAATGAGAATGTAAGGAGAACAAATTTTATTCCTAATTTAATAAATTAAATATGACAACTATTTAAACATATTTAATAAATAAGTAAAAAAAGAGAGTGCAATTTATGAGAATTAAATAAGATATAATTTTTAATTTAAAAATTATAATTATATGAATTAATTATAATGAGTAACAATGAAAATATAGTTTAAATCAATATATATAGAGATATATGGATATTTAAAAAAATTAATTTTAATTAGTGGGATAAATATATAATTAGAGAGTTAGAGCATATGAGATATTTCTTTTAATTAAAGTATTAATGGAAGTATTTTAAGTTTAAATGAGAATTTATTAAATATAGCAATATTATAAAATAATTGTTTATATATAACTGTTAAAAGTAGGATAACAAATTCTCTTATTTAAAAATAAGAGCTCTTTAAATATAATTAATAGTTAGGAGATAGGATTATATATAAGTTAAAATAATCTTATGAAATCATATATTATTATAGGTATCATTTTGTTGAAGTCAGAGCGAGGACATTAAGAGTAATCAATTCTAATCAAAGTGGGTACTCATGCTTTTATTTTATAGTAATGATGTTGTTTTCTTTAATTCAAGTTTATTGAACTTAATTTAAGTTTATTGAATTAGAGTATATTGTCTAGCTAATGATTATTGTAAGATTCTAGTATTTATTCTTTTTGAATGGTTATATTGAATTATTTAATAGTTAGCATGATTATTCAGCATATGAAGAGTTATTGAATGATAAATGAATGAAAAGATTATTAAAAAAATGCTTATATGTGCATGTTGATTGATGGAGTTCACATCCTTATGGTATTAATTGGGGATGCAATGTACCTGTACATGTAAATGGAAAATGTTATGAAAAGAGAAAAAGAAATGAAAAAGGAATGCCTTCATTGGTACTAAATTAAATAGTGACTCCTGTGACAGTTATACTATTTATGAGAAAAAGTATATAGATAAATATATTATATATGCATAATATGGTAAGTCTTGAATTGAAATGAATTTAAATGAAATTACTTTATGATATGAATTAAAATGCTCATGCATATTGTTCTAAGTACTTTGGGTTACTCTAATTGAGAAGCATGTTTTACTCGTTGACCTGTGGCTTATTTTTAGTTGCTCTAACATTATTCATGTATAATTTAATATAATCAAGATGAATAGAAGAGATGAAAATGTGTAACGTAGGCGTGGCACGTCTGAAGAAAGGTATTTAAACGATTTTATTCTAATTTGTTTCAAATTTGAGGTTTT